CCCTACAAGTTACCTTGTAGAAAATTATAAACTCTAATTATAACAGCTGTATTGCTAAATGATTGTACCAAAATTAGCCTGTTGTCATCTGGCTTTAATTTTTAACTGTTTGTAAAGGAGAGATGTTTGAGGGTGGGGGGGAATCAAAGGGGGTGGCTCTTTTTGTATGTACAAAAATAAATGAACACAGCATTGGATTAAAAAAAGTGATCTTGCTCTGTATAATCATGTGCTTCTTGTAGCAGCATTAAACAGTAATACAGGCTTGAATCATGTTGAACATGCATAGAAATCAATATTGAACAAAGTGGGTCTTTGCCCACGAAAGCTTATGCTCCAATAAATCTGTTAGTCTATAAGGTGCCACAGGACTTCTCGTTCTTGCAGATTCAGACTAACACAGCTAGCCCCCTGATACTTGAGTATTGAACTAATGCTCTCGAGTGAATCTTTTCTCTCTAAGTGCCAGAGTAGTTTGTTAGCACTGATTTTTACTGTAGAGATCTAGAACTTTTTTTGTAACTACTACTACCTCAGGTAGTGTCCCTATAGGTACTCTACTTGAGGTGTGCATGTGCACCTTCAATTGGAAGTTTTCAGTGGCAATATCTATGTTGCACATGCAACATATGCATCCTTGTGTCCCATACCAAGGATATATGAGCAAGATATTACAGATTCTAAGAAGGAAGTACGCTCTTTGTCTTCCACGGCCTTGTACATTGTTAGGCCATCAGTACAATTTGGAACAGTGAATCCAGCCTTTGGTACCTCACACATCCATGTCTGGGACTCACCAGGTCACTGTGTTGGTTCACCCAATAGTGCAAGAGTTCACATTCTCCAAGGTAGCCCTGCTTATTTCTGAGGAGTTTGTCTTCTCTGAGTTCAAGACTCCTGGTACCACAACCAATTGTATCCCAACTTCTACTTTTCTCCAGGACCACCTGCCTCCCCAGTACTTGACACCTTCTGAAAGATGGCTGATTACTCCTCCTCCTCCTCCCACACTCCACCAGACTAGGGAAGGGAGTTCTTCAGGCTCCCAGATTTCTGTACAGGGTTCTGCTGACCGTCTACCCACTTTTGCTCTTGCTCTGCACACGCCTCTTAGCATTTCATCTTAGTAGTTTAGTTGGTGGTTAAAGTTTTCACAGTTCATTGTTCTTTATCTAACAGTTGATCATCGTTAGTAATTAAGTGCAGTACTTAGTGCCGTTTTAGGCACAGGACTTGTTTTGCATCCCCAGTGCATCCGGTGGGGCATGCCTGGGCCCCAAGGCTTCAAGCCCTGCAAGAAGTGCCAGAAGCCTATCCCCTGTGGGGACCCCGTAGAATCAGAGCTGGAAGACACCTTAGAAGGCCATCAAATCCAGCCCCCTGCTCTAGGCAGGACCAATCCCAACTAAATCAACCCGAGACTTAAACACCTCCTAGAGATGGAGACTCCACTACTTCCCTAGGTAACCCATTCCAGTGCTTCACCACTCTCCTAGGGAAATAGTTTTTCCTAATATCCAACCTGGACCTCTCCCACCACAACTTGAGACCATTGCTCCTTGTTCTGCCATCTGTCACTACTGAGAACAGCCTTTCTCCGACCTCTTTGGAACCTCCCTTCAGGAAATTGAAGGCTGCTATCAAATCCCCTCTCACTCTTTGCTTCTGCAGACTAAACAGACCCAAGTCCCTCAGCCTCTCCTTATAAGTCATATGCTCCAGCCTCCTAATCATTTTGGTTGCCCTCCGCTGGACCCTCTCCAA